GGGTCCCACGCCATGCGCCTCATGGTATGGAAGCAGCGGAATGGTCCACGCTCACTTTTTCCTCCCCCTCCTCCTCCTTCTCCTCCTCCTCCTCTTCCCCCCCTCCCTCCTCCTCTCTGGACGGTCTCTTCGTCTTCTCCTGCGCCTGCGTCACCGAGATGAAGGCGAACGACCTGGTGGGGCCCTACCTGCAAAGGCAGAGCGGAGACCCTGACGCGGAAGGCCCGGACTTCATCTTCCGGCTCCAGCACACCCCTCTGGCGGACTTCTTGGCCCTGGTCGGACGCCTGTGCGAGGTGGCGGCGCGGTTGGTGAAAGGGGATGGGCCGGGCCTAGGCGCGGAGGAAGCGCTGTTGCGGCCCATTTTGGAGGAGCGGGAGCGGGCCTCGGGGATCTTTGATCCTGTCCAGCTCGTTGATTTCAGGTGCTGCTGTGGGGCCTGAAAAGGGGCAAGTGCCTGGAAAAGCTTCCGATGCGAGTTAACCTCCTTCATTTCCCCGTCTTTTTTCTGTCCCTCTCTCTCTCCCATCCAGAGAAAAGTTTATCCTCTCGGCCGCGGTGCCCGTGGACCGAATCTCCCCTCTGATCAAGAATCCCGGCGTCGTCATGCTCACTGACCGCCGCTTCTATTTCCAGCCCGCCGAGCTGAACAATGTGGGCATCTCCACCACCTCGTTGGCCCTGGCCTCCATCGTCCAGGTCTTCAAACGACGGTACATGCTCAGGCAAACCGGTCTGGAGATATTTTTTGCTGCGGCGGGAGAGGGAGGGACGGAGGGCGGGATGGAGGACGGGAAGGGGGGCGTTGGATGGGCGAGTGGGTCTGGTAGGGGAAGCGGGAGGAGGCAGGGCGGGGGGCTCGACAGCAGAGACGGCGAAGGACTCGGCACGACCGCGACCAGGAGCAAAGGAGGCCAGGGGGGCGAGGTCACAGAGGCCCCGCCCCGGGTGAACAGTGTCCTCTTTTCGTTCCGATCCTCCCAGGAACGTGACCGGGTGCATGCCTTGCTGCTCGCCCAGCCGGCGCTCACGGACGGCGTGCTGCAGCCTGTGCGCGTCGCGGAGGTGACTCGTCGGTGGCAGGAGCGACGCATCTCCAACCTGGACTACCTCCTCTATCTGAACACGCTGGCGGACCGGTCGTTCAAGGACCTGACCCAATACCCCGTCTTCCCCTGGGTGCTGGCTGACTACACGAGCAAGAAGCTGGACTGGGAGAGCCCGAGCACCTACCGCGATCTGAGCAAGCCGATGGGGGCTTTGCACCAGGAGCGACTGGCTTATCTGCGGGAGCGGTACCACTCCATGCCGGAGGAAAACGCGGAGATGGGCATCCCGCCCCCTTTTTTGTACGGCACCCACTACTCCACGCCGGGCTACGTCCTCTTCTACCTGGTGCGGGCGGCCCCTGAGCACATGCTCTGCCTCCAAGACGGGAAGTTCGACAGCGCGGACCGGATGTTCAGCTGCGTGGCGGACACGTGGCAGTCCTGCCTGACCAACCCCGCCGACTTGAAGGAGCTTATCCCCGAGTTCTACTTCTCCCAGGGCGACTTCCTCGTCAACGTGGAGGGTCTGCCCTTGGGGACCACGCAGGGAGGGGTCAGGTTGGGCGACGTGGCTCTCCCGCCCTGGGCCCGGAACGAAAGAGACTTCGTGCGTAAGATGCGTCGAGCCCTCAACGACAGCACCTATGTTTCCCAGCACTTGCATGAGTGGATCGATCTCATCTTCGGCGTCAAGCAGAAGGGCGAGGCGGCCGTCTCCGCCGACAATTTATTCTACTACCTGACGTACGAAGGGGCCGTCGACTTGGAGCAGGTGACTGATCCACTGGAAAGGGCAGCTTTCGAGGCTCAAATCCGCGAGTTCGGACAAACCCCCAAACAGGTCTTCCTTGGGCCCCACCCGAGGAGGGACGACCCGCCCTCCGTCCCTGTTTTCCTGACTCCCAGCTTCCAGGACTCGTCCTCCTCCCCGGCGGTGGGGCTGCCCTCGAACGGAGGGGGCGGGGCGCGCCCGCGGGGGGCCTCGGAGCACGAACTGGAAGGGCCGTGGGAGATGGTTCGGGGGGAAAGCCTGTTGCTCTCCCAGAGCCTCTCTCAGTCCCTCTCACAGAGCATGGGGGGAAGTGGCTGGGAGATCTTGCGCCAGGATGCGTCGGAGAGGGAGGGTGGGAGAGAGGGCGGCGTGGGGCCGGAGGCATCCTCCCAATCGTCTCCTGTGCACCTGAACGGTCGCGGTAGCATCCTCAGCCCCAAGACCCTCATGGCCAAGGGGCTGGGGCTCCTGCCCCCCCCGGCCGGCACGGATAAGTGCACCTCAGTACAGCAGCCGGAGCAGCTCATGTTTGTGATGGATGGGGCCGAGAGCCTGCAGTCCCCCACGAGCTTGCGGCTGAACGAACAGGCCCAGCGGACGTTGGAGGAAATGATCCGTGTCGCCCACAACGAGGAGACTTATGCGAATGGATGCTCCGGTCCGACCGCGGCGGCCTCCCTGCGTGGAGGGGCCTCCAATACGAATGGCGATGGAGTCGTGGCAGGAGTGAGAGGGGGAGTGGACGACCTGCCGGCGGTCGTGCGCTTGGAAGAGCTGATATCCAGGGAGGCCCTCCTGAGCATCCCAGGCAGCACTCCTCGGCTCCTGCTTCCCCTGCCCCGTGCGGGCATCCACAAGGCAGAAGGAGGCTCGCAGGGGGCAGCGACTGCCTCGACCGGCCCCGAAGATGCCCGCGACGCCCCTCGTCTCGGCCTGCTCGGGAGCCGGGCCGTGTGTCTGCACCACGACGCGGTCACCTCCCTGAAATGGGCGGACGGGGGGCGGTCTCTCTGCAGCACCTCGGACGACGGGAGCTTTCGTGTCAGCACCTTGCTGATGGGGCCTCAGGACGAGGGGAAGAGAGATGAGAAGGCGTCTTTCCAGTCCAAGCGTCACTTCTCGCCCAGCGACATCGCTCTTTCCTCCTGTGCCTTGATGGGTGGGGAGGCGTCCGAGGGGGGATTGGAGGTCAAAGGGGAGGGAGGCCCGGCGGCCAGCCCCCACACACTAGCTGCCCTCGGGTCCTACGACAACCACGTCTACCTGTATTCTATTCCCTCAGCGCGGCAGCTCTTGCGGCTGGACGCCCACGACGACGCCGTGTCATGCCTGGACGTGGCCGGGCCCTACCTGGCGTCGGGGTCATGGGACGCCACGGTCAAGGTCTGGGGTATACAGTCCTCCCGCAGCTGCGGCAGCCTCATTGAGCCGATGCCCTTGGCGGAATTCTTCGAGCACACCACACAGGTCCACTGTGTGGCGCTGAAGGTGGAGGCGAGCGGGACGGAGGCAGCGCTGGTGGCAGCGGGGGCGGAGGACGGGCAGGTGATGGTCTGGAACCTTGCGGCCAGGTGCTTGGTCTCGAGCTTCAGGGT